CCAAGGAGAAACTTCAACGAGCCATTCGAGCCCGACCACGACGAGCACGAGAAGACCTCAACTTCAATGAGGGAGACCCAGTCTGGGTCTGGAGACAAGGGCGACGGGGCTCACAAGCCAAGGGCGGACCATGCTATGTCATCTTACAGAAGGGCGACAGCGTCTGGGTGAGCAGAAGAAATGAGCTTTGGAAGTGCAATCGCCTCGGGTCTCCCACATGGGCAACGTCGAGAAACAGGGTCTTGAGATGATCCCACTACAGCTGTTGAGAGCGAAGGAGCAGCTGAGATTCCACCGAAGGAACCTGCCCTACGTGGACGTTGAAGGAGAAGGTCCACCACCTGATGGAGCACCTGAGCGAGAGCCTGAAGTGCAACGACGCGCACCTCCTACTCCAAGACCACCGGCTACGCCACGTCCTGCTGGAACACCTCGCACTCCGGTACCTCTTCGAGTACCCCCTGAAGGATCCAAAACATTGAATCCTTCAACTCCAGCAAGAGCCAGTGGAACGACGACACCTGCAATCGTGCCTGTTCCTGCCACACCTGTGCATGAGAGAGATCAAGATCACCAGCGCCAAAGACACTGGCGAAGGGCACCACCATTGAGGTTGAAGATGCTGAACAGAACGACTTGGGCAAGACTACATCGAAGCCGATGACATCGCCCTCTACTCCGAGACCGGAAACTGTGACAGCTGAGCAGAGCTCTACAACGACCTCAAGGTCTTCACACCCGGCTACACCGGCCTCGAGACCCACCTCAGCGCCTGTGAATGATGGTGATGAGTTGTGGCGTGCGACAATGGAGAACCAGAGATCGGAAGTTCCTTCCACCTCATCCGGAAGCAAGCCACCTGCTGCTGAAGAAGAACTACATCAATGGAATCGAGTTGACTTGGAAGCACGTCGCTTCCGAGGCAGCAACTCCAAAGGACCTCTTTGGGGCGATGTGGTGCGCCGATTGACCCTCGACCTGGACAAGGGGAAGGTAATAGCTGATGAGATTGTCACTCCCGAGATGAGCGTCCACAAGGTGCATCGCAAGCTTCCTGAAGGGGTGAAGAACATCGAGACGACCCTCATCTACAAGAAGGCTGCGGGACATCCTGATCCTGGCAAACCACTACTGGTCGTTCCTGAAGACCAACCACCAGGTCCCCTACCTCAACCTGAACTTCCTCAAGAAGACAGCCGCCTTGTTGAGAGCAGCGTGAAGAGGAGTCTAGATGGAGATCAACCAGACAATCGAATTGCCAGTCGCACACGACTCTTTGGCATCTGGCGTGCAGATGACTGCACTGAGTGGGGTGACAAAAAGAAGTACCCTGTGGTTGCAAGCCGCCGTGACATCTGCCAGTTCAGCAAGCTTGAGAAGACCGACCTCTACTACGGCCTCATGGAGCCCGAGACCTCTCTGAACTACCTGACCAAGCAGTCTGGCAAAGAGCTTGATGAGCGGCGGATCCCCGCTGCAGAGAGAGCCATGTTTGACCAGGCCAAGTCATTGAAAGTTGGCAATCTTGTGGGCTCAAATGCCATTGAGGTCATCACCGATGCCGCAGAGCTTGCAAGGATCCGGAAAGAGTTTCCACACCGGATCATGCCTTCGAGATTCATCATCACCAAGAAGGCAGGTGAAGTGAGCGAGAACTGGAAAGCAAAAGCCCGCTGGATTTTGCTTGGACACAAAGATCCCGATGCACTACAACAAGAGCGCTCTGCACCAACACCATCGACCACAACGGTCATGTTGTGCTTGCAAATCATCGCCTCCATGAAGTACCAGCTCTACATCATGGACGTGTCCTCCGCCCTTGGCCAGAGTGACCCACATGAGGGTGAACAGGGTCCACTGTTCGCATCAATGCCACCCACCGGCATTCCTGACTATGCGCCCGATTGCCTGATTCGGGTGCGAACTGCAGTCTATATATGGCTTGGTGAACGCCCCGGCTGTTTGGAGGAAGACGGTCCGACGCCGCCTCACTGAACTGGGCTACGCTGAGAGCGTCTTTGATCCTTGCTTCTACTGCTTGAAGCCCACTGAAGAGCAGCTGGCAAATGGACCGAAGCTGCAAGTCGCTGGCGTGGTGTTGTTGGATGTTGATGATTTCTGCCAAGGAGGAGGAGAGCGACACCAAGAGTTGATGGGCCAGCTGCGAACTCGCTTGAAGTTTGGCAAGTGGCGCAATGTCCACAACGACTCTGCCGAGTACATCGGCAGGACTTTGAAGCAGCTGGACAACTTCGAGATCCAAGTGAGCATGCAGCGCTACATCGAGGAGAAGCTGAAGCCTGTGGTGCTCCCAAAAGAGAGGCTGAAAGACAAGTCAGCCCTCCTCACCGAGCAGGAGATCAGTTGGCTGCGTGGTGTTGGAGGGTCACTTCTTTGGGTTGGCAAAGAAGGCCGACCGGACGTGGGAGCGGCGTGCGCCATGGCTATGTCATGGAGCTCGGGCGGTCCAACCATAGACCACATCCTGGCCGCCAACAAGACGGTGAATGAGCTCAAGGCCACGGCCACGGCTTACCTTCGAGTGCTTCCGCTGCCGCCTGATGAGGCGATCTGGATGTCCATTGCCGACGCCAGCATGGCGAATGTGGAGAACAAGAGCGAGGGAGGCTTCATCCTGGCTTTGGCCCATGAAAGCATCATGAAGGGCCTGGAAGCGGACTTCTCGATCAACTCCTGGAAGTCCCACAGGTTGAAGAGAGTGGTGAAGGCCACGCTTGGAAGCGAGGCATTGGCGATGGACGATGCCCTAGCTGAGGTTGAGTGGGTCCGCGCCTTGTGGAACGAGGCGCTCAACCCGGCCACGAGCGTAATGGATGGCACACGCCTTGGTGACCAGCAGTCGGCCTTGGTGGTCCGCCTGCCTGAGACTGAAGATGAGCAGGTGAGGTCCATCAGGGTGGTGGACGAGAGCACTGGAGCCCATGTGACGGACGCCAAAGCTTTGTTTGATTTGCTGTCCCACCGAAGTGGGAATGCTGGTCATGACCGCCGTGCTCAGGTGGACGTGGCAGTGATTTTCATTTCTGCCAAGACCTTGAAGGTCAAGACTTACTGGGCCCCTGGCAGTGAAATGTTGGCAGACCCCCTGACCAAAAGGCTGTGGAACTCAGCTTTGCTGCGGAAAGTGATGGCTTCCGCACGCTTCGCGTTGACCCGTCAGGCAGGGCAGGACACTTAAAGGCAGTCCATGAAAGGTCCCCCTGAAGGATGTGAAACCAAACGCGCACTCCTCATGTCCTGCCTTGAACCTGCTGTGTCTTCGCTCTGGCCCGAACCCAACCAGGGCCCTTGAGCCTTACTTTTCATAGAAAAGGAGTCCGGCTTGCGTCGTATTTCATCAAGCCAGCAAGCTGCTTGAATCTTCAATCATCTTGCAGACGGTAGCGTTTGCTAAAGTGGATGTTCGAGAGCCGACATGAGGCGGTGCAATTTTGGGTCAAGTCCTGGACCCTCGCTTTTCTCCAACCCTGCGATGGGAATGTGGGGCGGAGATAGCAAGGATAGTGGGGACCCTGCCAGGGGAAGACCTGCGGAACCACCGGGTTCATAAAGCCGAGTCGGCTTGGGGTGCTCGATTTTGTGGAACACTTCCCAGAACCTTCCTCTACGTGCTAGACTTTTACGCCAAGGCCTTCGGTTACAGCGCCATTGGGGCAGAGAGGCTTTCCCTGAGCGAGCGCCAGGCGTGCGAAGCGTTTAGGCCTCAATTCGTAAAGGAACGCCCATCGCTTGCCTCCACCCAGTGAATCCGACATAGTAGGTAGGACTTCGAGCCAGTGTGGCTTCATTGCGCGGTGTTTCAGAAGCAGGATGGATGGTTGAAGGAGCTGGCCAATAAATATGCGGCTGAAGGCCCACGGAGATCAATGGATCAAGGATGACCACACAAGAAGGCCCCTTCTGTTGCCGGAAAAGTGATATGAAGATCGGCCTCAGCGACCTTGTCCTGGAGGCTTGCGGTGGCCAAGGCCACGCTGTTATCTTTAATGCAGCACTCTGATATACTCTGAGCTTCCATCACGAGCGATCAGATTCCAGGGAGGTTAAGCCTCTCAAAGTTCGGCGCCAGCGTGATGCGGAAAGGCATGAGGCAACCCGTCTCAGGCTATGCAGCGTGGGAGGACAGGTCACGGAGGATCATCGTTTTTTTGTGAACAACGCGCAAAACCCAAACCCTGGTGCTCTCATCTGAACCAGGCAATGGCCACTCTCAGATCACCAGGTTTTGGCCCCATCGCGAAGCATGATTGGGCGCCTCTTCGACAAAAGTGGTTTGCTAATTGTCAGGGAGTCTTCCACACCGAGTCAGCACGTGCCTACAAACCGAAGCTCCTTGGAGCCATCGCGACTCCGTAGTTCATCAGAAAAAGAAAATGATGAAAAATTGAAAATGGGAGTGGACCAAGCCGTCCATCGGCAATATAAGGTCTAACGCGGCGACCAACACATTGACAGGTGTTGTTTTTCATGAAGGGCGTTTGTCCAAAAGACATTCACTCAAGCTGGAACGCATGGCATCCAAGCCAAGGTTGGGTAAGCCCAAAATGATGATTGGTATTGTGGAGATGACATGTGGATGCGTACAGGAGCCCTCTTGGCCATCTACATGCCTGACATTGTCTAGCCACGACATCTTCATGGGGGAAAGAAGTTCTGCTTGACACCTTCTATCATCTTCTATCAAAACTCAGGTACATCAGTTGTTTCAGGTCGCGTAGTCTCTTGGAACAGGTGCATTGGCCCGCACCCTCTGCATCCTTGTAACCAAAAAACATCCTGTTCACATGATTCACATGCCATCTCTTCACAAGTCTGCATCTGAAGGACCAAAGAGTGAAAAAGGTAGACTTTTGGGGGGTGGGGGGTAGCATATATGTATACAGTATATATATATATATGTATATATATATGTATATATGTAAGCCAAGTTGAAACGAAAAGCTTGCAGATCATGAATGGCAAAATGATTCACTTGTGAGGCAACCCTTTGATGCGGGCTACGCACAAAACTTTGCAGTTGGTCGCCTCACTCGAATATTTCGTTTGATGAGAATCTTCAGGTGCATTTTTTTTGGGGGGGTTGGGTTGTCTTCTGAAAAGTTTCGCATGCCGCATGTTCGCCGCTTCTTTTTGGCCGACTTAATTAGTGTTGGGGCAAGACGTGTTGTGATTGTTCAAAAAGGTGTTGTGAACTCTGACTTTCCTGCAACTGAGTAAAAGGTTGCTGCTCGTAAGAATTCGGAACACGCTTCAGCCACCTACTTTTGGTTGCTTTGAAGCCGTGTAGATATGTCACAGCAGTGCTAGCACACTTTCTAGCTTTGAGCATGATGACAAAGAATCTGCACTAGTTGCTGTAGTAGATGCAATTCGCAGGGTGCTACGAGTTATGCGCTTTGCCAAGAATCTGCAGCAGCATCTCAGACTTCAAAGTACCGGAGTTCTTGGTCATTTGCATTGCAAGAGAAGACTCCTGCGAGGAAACACGACAAATGGTTCCTGCATGTTCCTCCCCCCCACTCGGTGAAGTTAACTTCTACATGTCAATGTTTGGGGGACTGCTTAGTGTTGGAGACTTAGACTTGAGGTAGTTGGTTGACTTCCAAGCCACAAGTCCTGGTTCCCCTCGTGAGTCGGACTGGGTGTTTAAATCATCGTCAATCTTAGATGAAATCGTTTCAGAAGTTGTGTTTTTATCAAAGTGCAAGACCAAATGTTGTTTTCCCGCCAAGGCTTCGGTTGTTGGGGGATGTTCTTGCCACTTTGCTGCAGTTTGTCTGTGGATGTGTTCGTGAAGAAGTCAAGAATGTGGGCCCAAACTTTTGTGCCCATGTTTTCTTGGCCTGTGTTTTTCTTCTTTCGGCCCTCTTCATTTCTTCATGATGTTTCATGTGAGCTTGGCCCTCTAAGTCCAAATGTTTGAGCCCGCTGATGTGGGCACTGCTCGTCGCAGACTTAGCGTACTTGATGTGTTGAAATCATGTTGTTCAAAGTTCAGATGTGTTCACGTGCGTTCAGGTGTTATTGATGTCCTTAATTTTTTGTCCATTTCACTGTGGAGGTTTTGGGCATCATCATGGTGGGAACTGGCGTTTTGATGTCTCAACTATTAGTTGAATACGTGCTGGATGACACACAGCCACTGGCGGAGCGCCGGTGGGTATATGCGCCTGGGCTCCATCAAAGAGAAAAACTCTTCTAAAGATGGCTTCATTGTCTGCACCCTTCAAAATTGGTGGTATTGGGACGGTGTAGTAGACTGTGCTTTTTAGCATATTACTACTTACTTGCAGTGTGCGGATGTGTAATGCCGTATTCCCATGTGTTTGTACTTATCAAAAAGATATTGCCGTCCAAAGCATGTTAGAATCACTAAGGGTATGTTAAATCATGGCGAGACATTCGCTTAGAGCAGTAACGAGTTTTGAAGTGCTGCAGAAAAAAATGCGCTTCAATCTTTGAGAAACTGATGACTCTCGACTATAAAACACTTGGAACATTGTAGATTGGCCAACAAAAAATGCAAGAACTTCCGAGAGTTTGTAGAATAACTCAAATAGTAAATTAATCTCAGCTGGACCCAAACTTTCAATCAATCCCTAAGTTGCATGAGGACTATTATGGCACGGCCTTGAAAGCAACCTATTCGGTCTTCGAAGCAACCTTCAGTGGCTCATGGCCGCTCATCGCACGACCACTCATCACCAATGTCAGTGAGTGGCGCCTTGGAGCAACGAGTTCAATCGCTCACATAATGTGAACTCGGCCGAGTTGGTGGAACATTCTTGACTAAACTCTTGAGCGGTAGCTTGAATTCAGGTACTGCGTCTTCTGGATTGCTTATCAAGTTGTTGCTTGGATTGAATCCACAATTCAGGATCCATTGCTGCTAATGAAATCTAATGAATGTTCTTCTTTGATCCTGCCCAGTGGCATCAGCTTTGTAGTAAGGGTTACGTTTAGTGCAGCTGGACAATAGGGCACTGCTAAAGGGCAAAGTGTTTTGGGAAGTGAAAGAATTTACAGTTGGAAATTGTTAGATTCGATATTGTCGGTACATTCCGGAGAAATAGCTGTACGTGTCACTCAGGTCATTGGATTCGCCGTCATGCGGGTCATTGGAGCGCTATTCCTGAACGAGACGATTCTCGCAATACTATTAATGTGTCTTGATGTTTTTTGGAAACCCTTATTAAGACAATGACACTGAGGATTAAGACATGTATATAACTGTAATTTTTGAGCTCTGACACCTCAATGAAATACCATTAGAAAGATGATATTCAGCACAGCTGCTACATCTAAGTGGTGTTTTGATCCTCCTGCATGTTTTCACTACAAATGGGACGGGTCCCGGGTTGACCACTGGAATAAGGCATTGTTTTATAGAAACACTTGTCCTGGATTTCCAGGTGTTGCATTTTGTAGAGGGAAATTTGAGCGCACCCAGAATATGCTGATTTGCAGACGTGTGATTCTGTAGACAAATGTGGTCATTCCCATTTAAGGTGGTGTTGAACTCGCCGGTTTGCATCTTGTAGAAACTGTGCATTTTGTAGAGAAAGTTGTGCAGGAGGATCTGGCAGAGGGATGCAGGATTGTTGTGGTGTTTTTGTGTACAAGGTATGCACACAAAATAACACACTCGAAAATGGCAAACTTGTGCATTTTTGTAGCGCTGGTTCTGCTAGTTTGCCCCGTTTGCAATTTTGTAGTTTGGTATGTCACGTTTTTGGCGTCGCCCTTTCCAAAATCTTGGTAGTATCCTGTTGTGTTTAGTTTTAGCTGAATGACACACTCTACAAAATAGGTCATCATGCTTTTGTTTGCCCATTTGCATTCTACCTGACTTGCAAACCTGGCACCCTCTACAGATTGTATCTTGGACTGTTTCTGGTTTGTAAACATTTCTCGTTTTTTCTATGTATGTCCTTTAACTTTCAGAACCTCAATTTTGTAGAGTGTGTCCCTGTCCCCAAATGCCCTTGCGCGTGGCATTTTGTAGAGACTCGGTTTTTACAAGTTTGTGATTCTGTAGGCCTGTAAGGAACCACTTTTCATGTTACAACTACAGAATGCTTAGCACAACTGATCCTGGCTAACTCACAGGGGGATGTCTTTTGCTGTTAAGCATTTGTTCATGTTCGATGGGGGTTGCTTCCGTGATGGAGCAGGTTAACCATAAGAAGTTGCCGCCGGCTGTATCCGGACAACAGCAGTACCTTTTTGACTATTCTTGGAATGGCAGACATCCGGCAGTTCTCCCATGACATTCAATCCGAGGATTAGAGCAGCGAATTCAGACGGAGAAGCAGAAGCCTTTTGGACAGCAGCAAAGCGCTGTTTGGGCCTTTGCCCCCTTTAGTAGGCGAACGTTCGTGCGTTGGCGCACACTTTGGAAAGCAAGGAATCACTTGCCCAAATTTCCAGCTTGCTTCATGTCTCGGGTGTCAGACGACTTACTAGATAAACATTTGTTTTCGCATGGATTGCGACTTTGGGCCCCTAAAATTATCCCGGCAAGAGACCCCAAACAGTGTGTGTGTGTAACCTTTGGAGTCAAAAGGTTCCTGTTGGAATGTGTCCTTTTTTAAGCAGGGGCACACGGCATCCATGACCTACCGTGCGCAACGAAGCTACGGTCATGGACGGGAAGAGAAGGCTGATCACCTTCCTGTACCTGCGTCGTACTTGTGAATTTCCCATTTGGTCCCGTTGTCACTAGAACAAGCTGCCAGCCATTGCATCTGTTCACCATCGGCAGTCACGCACTTGATGCAGTTTGAGCTTGGAGGTGAGGGCAGTCATTTGGTGTTTTGTTTACCTGGACTCGTAGGTTTTCACTTAGGCCGGCGTGTGGCACCGCATTCACATCCGTATGCATTTCTACAAGTGTGTAAGGTCTAGAGGTGTAGCAGCAGAATGTCTAGAGATCTAGACGCATTGGGGTCCAGAGAGGTGATGAAGGTGGAGATCGTGGTGAGTGTGACTGTGGGTGTGAGTGAGAGTGAGAGTGTGAGAGTGAGTGCGAGAGTGAGAGTGTGAGTGAGAGTGAGTGTGACAGTGTGAGTGAGTGAGTGAGTGAGGGAGTGAGCGAGTGAGTGAGTGAGTGAGTGGGTGAGAGCACAAAGTGCTGCGCCTGCCACGAAATCTGCACTTCGAGGTTGACAAAGAGTTCACAAAGAGCTTTTGAGGTTCACAAAGTGCTGTGCCTGCCACGAAATCTGCACTTCGAGGTTCACAAAGTGCTGCGCCTGCCACGACATCTGCTCTTCCAGGTTCACAAAGTGCGGCGCCTACCACAAAATCTGCACTTCCAGGTGCACAAAGTGCTGCGCCTGCCACAAAATCTGCACTTCGAGGTTCACAAAACGCTGCGCCCGCCACGAAATCTACACACTGAGGTTCACAAAGCGCTGCACCTACAACGAAATCTGCACGTTGAGGTTCACAAAGCGCAGCGCCTGCCACGAATTCACTTCGAGGTTCACATAGTGCTGTGCCTGCCAAAAAATCTACATGTCGAAGTTCACAAAGCGCTGCGCCTGCAGTGCCTGCCACGAATTCTGTAAATGAGCCACATGTTCAAAAGCTACGACTCACCGCACCATTCAGGAAATCAGAGTTCGTCAAAGATCACCACCATGTCGAAGACACCGCACCTGCCACGAAATCTGCACTTCGAAGTAAAACCGCTCCGATCCCTTGCACCTGTCACGAAAAGTCGACGTTGGACCACCAAAACAAGAGGTTTCCCTTGCGCCTGCCACGAATAGTGACCCCTATGTGCGAAAATGCGCACGGCGCCACAACGAGAGCGCAGTCGCAACAAGCACCCGCCGCCGTCGCCCAGATTTCGCGAGCCTGCGCAGTCGAAATGCGCGTCGACGATTTTGAGAGGCATGAATGTACTATAAATAACCGCGAATTAGCCGTCCACACCCGTGCGAAACAGCGACCTAACACAGGTGCTTAACCATTCCCGTAAGACCCCTAAGTGTGTCCACACTGTTTGGGGGAAAAAAGACAACATAGCTGTGCCAGAAGCTAGGAAATGAGAAGCAAATGGTCAAACAAACCCACATTTGAGACAGGTGCCAGAGACACAGACCGAAACCTTTGGAGGTACCTTGCTCAACTCTGAAGGACGGCTTTTCGGTCACACTAGGGGTTCTTACGGTAGTAGTCAAGGCTGGCTGCTTGATAGGAAGAGCTCAGCCGGCGTGTCTGGCTAGTTTGCTGCTATTTACGGTGCATTCATTCGCCGTGAAATCTTCAAAGCGCATGTCGACTGCACCGGCTCACAGAATCTGCTGGTCTCGAGAGATGGGAGAGGTGGACTGTTCGGAGGTAGTGGCCAAAACCATTCGACATGAGTAACAATGACATCGACAACAACAACAACAACAACAACCAGAACAACAGCCACAGCCACAACCACACCAACAACCAACAACCACGTCCCCCGGTACCTACATTTCTGTATTTCTGTATTTTTCTTTGTTCCTTTCCGGTCTGCTCCTCCTCCTGCTCCTGCTCCTGCTGCTACCCCTGCTGCTGCTGCTGCTGGTGGGTTTGCTCCAACCACGGCTTACAACAACCACGGCTTACGCAAAACCACGGCTTACACCAAACCACGGTTATCACCAAACACCGTTGACACCAAAACACGGCTTGCACCAAGCACAGTCTACACCAAACCACGGTCTGGTTTGCACCAACCACAGTTTACACCAACCACGGTCTACACCAACCACAGTTTATACCAGATCACGCTTTACACAACCGCCGTTCACACGAAGCCACGGCTGTCACCAACCACACGTTACACCAAACCACGGCTTACACCAGACCCACTTTCCCATAATATGCCAGGCATCATCAGCTGTTGCTGCTTGCCAACCACCGTTTACACAAACTACGGTCTACACCAACCACAGCCTACTGTTTATCTGTTGCTGCTGCTGGTGGATCTGCTTGGTGATTTTTCGTGACCGCTGCTGCTGCTACTGCTGTTGCCGCTTGGCTGGCAACCCCGGAGGACACCAAGCGACAATGGTTATTTTTTTAAATTGGCCATAGGCAGGGTGATGTAGAAGAAAAACCAGCACAAAAGCGATGCAAAACAAGTGCTAAATTTAGCACGCGTTTTGCACCGATTTGCGGGCAGCAAGTCCAACATCAAAAATGTGGTTTGCACTAACTACAGTTGCAGCTTACACAGAACAACTTTTACACGTTCCCTTCGTATAAGAAAAGGATCCTAAAGGACCAAGGCTCACCGTTCCAATGTTTAGGATGTAGTTTCCACATTTAGTTTGCCCTCATACCTCATCCATGCAAGTGATCCCTCTCCGGCATATTGCACACGTTACTCCCAACCAGCTAGCTTTCGTTCACCCCCTCTTGCCTCAAGTAGATGTGTTTGCCTACTTCGACAGAGGCAGCGATCAAGACCCTGGGATTGAATGTCGCACAAAGAAATGGTACCCAATCACATTCAATTGTTTACGCGAGTTTTTGCGGATACCTTCTCCCCCATCCTCACCCTTTCTCGAGCCTCTCGCATTCTTGACCGATCTAGCCGAGCCGATCTGTCGATTTGCTTTGGCTGGTTGTGATTTGCTGTTGCAATTTGGGCGGCATTTAGTGATTTGTCTTCCAAAACCTCAGGGGCATGTTGTACTGTGCTATCAGAAACTTCCGCTGTATTCCAGGTTGACCTGGGTTTGAAGCTGACATGAGGTGCTGCGCAAGATGAAGGAGAAGGAGGCATTCAGCCAAAAAGTATACCAGTTCTTCACAGCCGTCACTCGCCTGGAGCAAGTCGTTCGACCTTGGCGACCTTTCTCTCTTTGGGGAGCAAGCACCCGTAGCACATGTACCGATATCGGGAGCAAATGATTTGAATAGTTCTTCAGAATACGTACAATAAATGCACGAATAATGCAGTCAAGTCCATACAGTACTGTATTTTCGTTTTTTTGGCCCACCAAGGCAGATGCTTCTGGTGATGGGCGTTTGTCCTATGAAGAGTTGGAAGCTGCTCTTCAGGAGTTTGGGAGTTCCTGCTCTTTTGCAACTTCGACAACTTGTTGCAATCTCCCCATGATAGAAAAGAAAATAAAGGCCCAAGCACTTGCTTCGCAAATGATTTTGATCTCAGCATGTTTGTCCGGCTGCCTTGATCATTCAATCAATTGTCAGCCGTTCTTTTCTGACCTGAATCATTCAAGCGATGCGATCAGGAGCCTGGAGTTGAGGCGTGGCTCAAAGCCCTTGAGTTGGAGATCCACGTCACTTGGCAGTAAGTGCAGCTAACAAGCTCAGTTTAGGAAGTCAACCGAAAATGAAAAGCAATCATGTGATGTCTGATGATGAAAGAGCAAGTATGCCTCAGAAATCAGAAATATGGGTGTTCTTCTTTGGCCAGAATATCCAGTTAGTTTTCCGAAAAGACCAGATGACGAGTTGTTGCGAGCACTTGTTCTTTGATTATGAAAAGTTGAGAATCTGCAGGTCTTGATGGAATGTGCTTTTCAGTGTTTTCAATCTGTGTGATTATATAAATGGGAGCAACCGGGTGCACAGTTTCTCTCGGAGGAAGCCTACACGTTGTTCATGTTGCTGGACGACGACCAAGATGGCGAAGTATCTTATGATGCATGGCATAAAACAAGTGTGACGAGAAAGACCATCGGTTTGCGCTGGATACTTGTATATCCTGGCTCAAGCAGCCCTTCTGTGCTTTTGTGAAGGACCCAACCTGTTTGCGTTGCCGTAACTGCAGAGCTTGCGCGCGTGTTGGTAACTCTTGCCGGGTCCGGCGTAAAGGCAAGATTTGTTTTCGTTCATGTTCCTTTGAGAACGGTAAGTGTTCCGCTCGCAGCAGATTCTGAAACGCTGCATTCTGCACCTTTCCATCACTTCAAGTGCCTGAGGAAGAGTTCCTGCATAGCGCCTTGCGGCTCAAAGGCAATGCCAGGGCCATTGATTCCATCATGATCATGCATGAGCAGTCTCTTGGCCAAGCGTCCATCAATTCATTGTCAGCTGCTTTTGCACTCCCAGCTGAGAAGGTTTATATTTTAAGGTAACTGTTTGATTTAATAAATGCATAAGGGTCACATGTTTTCGCATCAAGTTTGGTGTTCAATTTAAAGGCCCCTTAGGACGGACAGGACTTGGAAATCGCACAGATGGCATTTTCTGTGGTTTGTTGAGGGCAAAGATGGTCACAGAGTTCAAACGCCTGAATGACATGCTGACCACAGAGATGGATGCATCCCGGGAGATCATGCAACGGCTCCAGCACCGCCAGATCCAGCCTTCCCATGAAAGGACTGAAAGAGTTTGAAAGGAGTGTGTTGACGAAGTCGACATGTGTCCCACAGACGTCCACAATCAGACCTTACTGGGTCATCGACGAAGTCCAGATTGTGTTGACGAAGGGAGAACAGCTGTTGAAGAAGTCATGCTGAGAAGTGCTACTGAAACCATTGATTGTGCTTAGAATTTTCACTGATGGTCCACTTGCAAGAGGAAGCTGAGAGATAGTAAGGTAGTTGCTAAGGCATTGAGCTTTATTTGCATACATCTTGAAAGTTCACCAGGCCCAATACAATAGGTTTTTACAGACTTCTTTTGCATGATTCTGCATTCATGACGTCGAGGAGGGGCTCGCCTTTTGGTGACTTGTTGCTATCCCCAGCGGCTACCAAAGCCAGGCTTGCTCGAAGGGCCTCTGAAGCGCCAGTCCGTAGGCCATCACATTTGGAGTAGAGAGTGCAGTATATAACGCGGCAAAATCCCAAAAGCGGAGATTCGAAGAACTTCTCACACCCGAATCCTCGGAGGTTGCAATAGCCACAGCTGCTGCGTCCACTCGCTGGTGAATTCAGCATATTAATGTGTTGACACTGTTGTGGTCAAACCAAGTGGTCTCATTTCCGCAGCATGTTTGGAGGCGCTGCAATCCGCAATGTTTGTCAAAGGGAAATTGTTTTTTTAATGGTTTATTCAGAAAATCCTGATTGTGTATGCGTGTTGGTTGCATATGCCATGTTGTAGGGAAAGTGCATTTGAGAATAACTTTGTTTGTTTGGGCTGGCCACCTTCTTCATTGATGGCTAATCCATAACGCGTCGGATAGTTCCTTGTGGCTTCCTGCATACCAGCCAAATGCTACATAGCCGTAGCCATTCATATTGTGGTATTGTGATGGTGTAGTTCGGTCATGCGGATGAATTTCAATGGAAGTCCTCACACTCCAAAGTTACAGACTGCATGCCCTAAGCAAAGACTGTCGCAACGAAAAAGTTCTGCGCAACCCATCCAATGTATGATTTAGTGTGAAGGGTTATGTGATACCGATGATCAACACAAACATGTCTTAGTTGATTATCATCCGGCTGACAAGAATATGATGATGTTCCGCAAGCAAGGGAAGTTTGCTGGTTCTCTTCCAGAGTTGGAGGGTTTGCAGGCCAAGTCGATTTAGGTTGCAATTGGCTTCAGGGTTTGGTAGTTACGCAAAATGCACCATATACTATTGAAGATGACGTGGAATTCGCATCAAAGAAGCTGCGGGCGAAGAACATTGGGCAACAAAACATGCGACGCAGCAGTGAAGGAAGGCTTGCGTTGAGAACGACGTCGTTGGAGATTGCCTCAAGAACTCTGCGAAGCAGAGCATTTGGAAGGCACGAGCTTCCCGTCAAACATTGTGCACCATGCCGATCTGGAGACAAGAGTAGCGCGTGGCCCGTGCAGAACATCACAAATTGACCTTTTCCACACACCAATGGACCCGAAGAAACAAACCAGCTTTCTCGTGAGATTGGGTAGGAAGATGTCAAGACAAACAAACATAGCGGAGTTGCGCACTGTTGGGCACATCGTCTCAAACCGTGAAGCGTGCATTCTTGCAATGAAGCCTTTTACTGGCTCTTTGGTGGCAGTCGCCCTTCGCATGTGCAGTGTCTTGACTGCCGCAAAAAATATTGCTTGGCGGCAAGACTGTCACGGCCTGCCGAAGAAGTGGAACCAAAAGTAGAAACTAATTTGCCAGCAATGTGTTCAATACGAGTCTGGAACTCGCAATGGAAACCCGTTCAAACCTTTTGACTGCAGCGCTTGCTGATCCACTGATTCGTCAACAAGCACAAGCAAACGCTTCTGCTTGGCCGGCACCTTCTTTTGTTTCCCGGCTTTTCCTTTTGTCGTTTGCCACTTTTTTAGCAACGATAATTCCTTCCACCCCCAGACAAACAAGTTAATGGTTTCATGGAGCAATTTGTCGTGCGTATGTTAGACATTGTTAGACTGTTCGACAAGAATCCGTTGCATTGATGTGTCGGCAAGTGTATATGTTACTCGTATATCGAAAATTTAGGTCATAGAAAGTGTTTGCTGAATAATTACGACTTATGACCTCAGCGGAAGGTCTTGGACTTCAATGACACTTTGGAGCCTGGAAGCAGCCACAGAAGGCGTGCATAAAGACGCAAGCAGCTGAAAAAAGGCTTGGAGACGTTTGTGCATTGAACTTGCTGAGTGAGTGCGTGCGTGGGTGAGTGAGTGAGTGCGTGGGTGAGTGAGTGCATGGGTGAGTGGTTGGGTGGGTGGGCGAGTCAGAGTGAGAGTGGAGTGTGATTTGGGTGAGTGTGAGTTTGAGCGAGTTGCTGCGAGTGAATGTGAGAGAGAGAGAGAGTGAGTGCACGTGTGTGCGTGAGTGAGTGTGAGTGAGTGAGGAGCGGACGGAGGAGGAGGTGACAAGGACGGGTGGGATACAGATAGAAGATGATAAGAGCCCCACACAAAGACGTGGGAAATAGCATCTGTAATTTTACGCACGTGTTTGATAGTTCCTCCAGTTTTGTCCTCCACAAATCGTGGGGGGGGGGGTGAACCACCTCCCTCCCCCCCCCAAAACGACCAGGGGGGGGGGGGTCCACCACCCCCCGCCTCCCGCCGGAAAGAGAAGGGGGGGGAGGGTTCCCACCCCCCTTTCCCCCCCCGGGGGCTTGGTTGGTTGGTTGGTGGAGAAGGTGTTTTGCCGCAGGGGGTTCACCTTAAATGTGATTTCGTGGCAGGCGCGGGTGTTGGAGATGAAGTGCAGATTTCGTGGTGCGGGGGGGGTTGGGGGGGGGCGCAGCGCCCCCTCCAGCAGCAGACCACAGCCACGTAAAACAAGTGCATGTTGAATGCAAAGAAAACAAAGAGACTGCGCCGGCCGGACTATTTCAACACGTTGCTTGGTTTGTTGCTTCGTCGCTTGTTTTGGTTCCTGTTCTTGTTGGTTGTTTGTTGTGGCTTTTGCTGAATGCGCTTGTGGTTATTGTCGTTGCTGTTGGTCTTTGCTGATTGGTGCCTGTTGGTTGGTTTGTGGGTTGCTTGGCCGAGCGACCGAGTATGGTGGGTTGTTTTGCCGCAGGGTTCACCTTAAAATGTGATTTCGTGGCAGGCGCGGGTGTGGGAGATGAAGTGCAGATTTCGTGGGTTGGGGGGGGGCACAGCGCCCTCCCCAGCAGCAGACCACAGCCACGTAAAACAAGTGCATGTTGAATGCAAAGAAAACAAAGAGACTGCGCCGGCCAGGGGACCTGCCGGGGGGGTTGGACACCCAGTGGACCTGCCGGGGGGGGGGGGGCCCACCGGGGGGGTCGCCAGAGGGGGGGGGGCGGGGGGGGAAACACAGGGGGGGGGGGGGGTCGCCCCCCCCCCCTGGAATTGTTTGGGACGGCTAATGGGGAACTCTCACGTGTTCTCTAGCATGTTGTTTGACTTGTAGGTTGTTTTCTCATGTTTTCCCGCCTGTTTTGTTTCGACGTCGATTCGTTTGGTTGTTTCATTCCTCGCATCATGTGTTTACGGCTGATTTGGTTTAGTTATGCCGTCCACCCTGGTTTTCTTTCAATCACAAAAGAAAATATGTCACTTTGCGTGTTGACTTGAGGGGTGTGTTCATAGTTTGATCCGCTCCTTCAGGAGCCTGCACTTTACATACACTGACATACACTTTACAAACAAGTTGAGACTATTGTAAAAGGTAATGTGCATCCGAATGGTTTGATCTATATGTCTATATATATATATTGTATATATATTGTATATATATATATATTTGTTCCCTATTTGCAGCAAAAAAGGATTCGAAAGTTTTTAGGAACTTGGGATGAAGATGCAGATGCAGTCTTTGGGGTGAAGAGGACTAGGATGCAGAGATGCTCAAAAAATTGCGACAAGAGAGACTTGAAGGTTCAACGGAATTTGGAATAAACAGGTTCGTCCCAACTTGTCCCCCAGAGCCCAACTCAGATTTGAGTGAAGATGCTTGATTCGAAAGAGTTTGAGATATATTCATGAAGGTCATTGTTTGCTTACTTCTAGTCCTAAAAAGCACAAATTGTGGGGGTACAAATAGAAGGGTTGCCGCTTGTTCAACAAAAAACATTAGCTTATGTTTGATTAAGGTTGGTCCCCAAAGCCCCTGAACTATATATATATATAATGGGTTCAACCATTGGAGTTTCCGAAAAGGAACCTACAAGGTGGTGCGAAAACGCTGCTTAGCCACAGATTTCCATTTGAAATGCAAGACTGAAATTCACATTCGATAGCCACAAGGCATCGGTGTGTGGCAATCATGCAGCTTATACCAATCAACAATAGGTTAATGAGTAAACATGTATAGCGCATTATTGCCTACGTGGTGTGGCAGTTGTCGCGGACCACCGGACGTAAACATAAACCATCATCCACATACGTAGCCATGATGATGGTTATCACGATGGTCATCGCCATCATCATCATTTTTCTTTCTCTACGCCCTCTGTTTCGAGAGAGCTGGAATTAAGGTCAATACTTCGTACCGCGTACGGTCAGCTACGAGCCAGTTGCAGGGCCAAGCAATCACGCGCCTGGTCCAACTGCCTAGCCCGTAGGAACTTGTGAAGGATTCCAAAATTGCAATAGCACCGGCACAAATGATCATCTATACTATACTGTATACTGATGACTAAGGAGTTGGCGGAAGTATCTCAAAAATCATGAGTCCTATCTCATATGGAAAAGTGCATTTGGGCCATTATTTCATACATAACTCTTAGCTCATGAGCCTGAGGTAGTGAAAACATGATTTCAACATGAGCTTTGTAGAGTGTGTTTCTTTAGCATGCTTTGGAGCACTTTGGAGAGGTTTTTGTGGATGACAACGCATAAGGTAGGAGTTTTGAGGCCTATGATGGACTCGACATGGTTGGCGGTGGACAAACGCCACGATTTTGAATGGTTTTGATGGAATGTCAGCGGGGTGTGCCATGTGCATGCCGGCAATTGAAACCTTGTGTCCGAAACGTGTCCAGACCTTTGTGAGATGGGACTTGCATGTAGGGTTGCCCTGTGTGTTTCCTATCTCTTCAGTTTTTGTAGAGCATGCCCATCATCCCAGCACACATGAGTTGAGACGTTCCCCAGGCAAGTGCTAACTCATCAGATTACCAAACTCCTAACTCATCTACACAGAGTATATCCTCTATGGCATGGTATGGATGGCAGGGACAGATTCGATCTGGCCTTGTACTGTCCTCGAATTGCTTAGCCAAGTCATCCAACTGGGGCTTGGCAGCAGACTACAGCTCGTCATGGTGGTGCTTCAAGTGGTCCATGAGGCAAGGCGGCCGCACGTCGCAGAGCACGCAGCAGAACAGCAGCTGCCTGCAGGCTTTAGGCCAGGTCAGTAGCAAACCAATGTCCAGCCTGTCAGTGGCTAGGCAGCCAAGCAGGCCTGCTTCAGGTTGACCATCATTTGTTCCTGAGTGATTAAGGTCAGGTCCTCACTGCCAAATCCGGCAGTCGGGGCACAGTCTCTGGGGGCGCATCGTCCAGGAGGTGCC